AAGTTCATTATATTCACTTACGTGCAAATACCCTTCGGAAAAGAAATGAATCCAGCTATTCTCCTCCCCCACAAAATATGGCTGAATTAGTAGGACTTGCATCAGTAAATCTACAAAAAATTCTTAGAATCTAAAAATATTTTCAGGCTTTAAATAACCTACAAAAGGTTGATAAGCCATAAAAAACAAAAGTAATCAATCGGATAGAAATAGAAACCCGGGTAAAAAATAATTAAAAAAAATTGTGTAAATATAAATTTTATCGTAAAAAAAAATGATTAAAAAGAAAGAACGGAGACATTTTTGATATATAAAAAAAATAATTTATCTATGTTTTATAGAATCTGAGATATTTGTGAAAAATTATAATGTAACTAAAAGAAAATCTGAAACAAAAAAATAAAAAGTAAAACTTCATTTAAAAATACTACCAAAAATCGACAAGTGAATTTTAATGAAGTTTTCAGTTTTTTAAAAAAAATAATTAAAAAAAAGAAAAATAGAAAGTTTTATTTTAAATTTCGTGGCAAAAAGCAAAGGGTGCTCGCAACACAAATAAGAATTGAATGAGATGTGACACGAACATTGTTGAAACATCGAGTGCTCAAGAGCGGTTGAAGACTTAGCAATGGCGGGAAGTGTATGCATGCTATATACACTTCATTTCACTTCCGCTGTTCATGTCATGCGATAAACTCAAGTTCTACTTTCTGGAATTTTCTATAATTTTTTCCCACTTATTTCTGTCAGGTCATTTTCCGCTTGCTACATGTACCATGTAACCCAATACTATCTGCCGTATGATTGGGTTAAAGACGACTAAACCGATTCCCTACCAGGTTTTTCTGGTGTGAAGTGTGGCTAGACAGACAGTAGGATTAAAAATATAACCTGTCAACGGCCATCTAGAACAGAGGGATTGACTAGGTTCCATATGTATACAGCCAGTGCGGTGATGCTGATGAGCGAAGGGCTTCCTAGACTGATGTCCACAGCCAGAGCGAAGTGTTCCGCCTATAAAACCAACGGTCACGTGTCTGTGACCAAGGTCAGCCTTCATGTTGTAGGACAGCGTCTGTGGTCTCATTTGGGGAGAGATAGGCTCTGTTATGTCTACCTGCCTGCTGTGACCCAAGTAAATGGTTAAAGAAATAACAAAACACGTGTTAGACATATATCATATATTAAACAGTAAGTACAACAGGAGAGTATTACACGACTAGTGAGTGTGTGTCGGATGACCTTGTGTTCAATCTATTCGACTATTTCCCCAAGGCCTTCTCTCCTAATCTTATAGTAGGCGGAAGAGTCCAACATAAACTCTTTAGAGGGAGGAGACCACAACACTGCCCAAAACACGCTACGTATGAAGGAATACCTTTTTTTTAAAAATTATTTCATCCCCATGAAAGGCCACTATGCCACTAAGATGCCAGAGAGTTAAAGATAATGGGAAAACTTTAGTAAGGAGAAAGTAATAAAATCAAGTTCAGGAAGATAGAAAATGGCGATTGACGTTGCATTTAAGTTTTTAAAGATCGCAAGAAACCGGAAGAGGCGTGAAAAGAAACTATTAAAATAGAACTTACGGTTTCATCTAGCTATGTCAACAGTAAAACGATGAGACCTAATTGCCAATCGAGTAGTACGATGTGGCTGAAGTACCAAGGAGGAGAGCTCATTAGAATAATTGCCATGAAAATATTTATAGAAAAGCTGATTTTCATGAAACTGGGAAATAAATATATTTTTCTTTCATATTTCATTCTGATTAAAGTATTAAAGAACAAACCCGTGTTCTTTTAACGTTAACAACTCATACTTTTTTCTTTTTTAATCATTTCACCACAAGCAAAAGAATAAAGCCATTAAAATAAAGGGTTACTGAGTTTGAAAGAATTAGAAAACGAAAAATATTAAGGAACGAGAACAACAAAAGAAGAGGAATCAAGAAGAGAGTAGATAACGATTGACATTGCATTTAAATCTTTGATGGTCAATCTTAGCAAGAAGCCAGAAGAGAGTTTCACAAACTGTTAGCATAGAACTTACGGTTACATCTAGCCAAATCGATTGTAAAGGTTGGAAAGCACACCAGCTGAAATATGACGAAGAAACTCTTTTGAAGACATAAATGTATAATACTGCAAATTTAATCTCTAAAATGATTGAGACATTCTTATAATATCAAATGCTTCCGAAATATCTTCGTAGTATTTTATTGCTGCTTTTGTTTCCATAACATTACCATTGAGCCATCCTGAGGCCTTGTTTAGATATTCAATGGACACAGCAGGGATAACTAAAATGTAGTAACAACAAAATCAACACAAAGAATGAGCATAAAAATAACTTTATGAGTGATAAGGACTCTTTTCAAAATAACAGATGACACATGCTTTTTTAACATAAGAAATTAACACTTCTTTAACAACCTATTACAAATTGGGTTTCTCAAAGTCTGCTTCGAATCAGACGTAAAACTAAGATGAATTTTCTCTATGTCAGGGCATCATCATATAATAATTGTCACCATCCGATTTGTTAGTTGCTTACTTCGCACGAATTTTACACATTGAATACTCTTTTATTACGGCCTTGGGCCAGACTAAGTTAAGCTTTGTCAATAGGGTAATTTAACATCTCAAACAGGATACAATTTAATATACAGTGTAACCCGGATATAAGAGACCCGGATATAAGAGAAACCCGGATATAAGAGAGATTTTCTCTGGTCCCAAATTAGAGCCTGTGTTAATGTATATAAATTAGACCAAACCCGGATATAAGAGAAACCCGGATATAAGAGACTTCTTCTCCGGTCCCGACAACTCCCTTATATCCGGGTTACACTGTATCACAAATCTAACAAATGCTTTTTCTTCTTTTTTGAGCCGTGTCCCCTTAGAATGTGGGTGATCACGACTCTCCACAACTTCTTGTCATTTGCAAGCTCTAAGTAACCTTTGGATTTTTTACCATGTCTCTTTGACGTTGCTCTTCCATCCATTCATGTAATCATTATAGGTTGGCTACCCGCTGTTTCTCTCTGTCCTTACTTCCAATATGTCATGAGAGTGTTAAAATTTCCAAGCCCTATTTTCTTATTATGAGTCCCAGAAATTTCACCTGTCTCTAGTAGATATAGTTACAAACCTCATCCTTCACTAATCAGAAAGCTACTGCACGCCTAGTGGATTTCATGGTACCTGAAGCAAAGTTTTTTTTGTTTTTTTTTACTCTAGTTTTTGTTTTTATCTGGAGGTGGAAATGAAGAAAAGCTGGGTCTTTCATCCCAGAATTATTTGGCGATGCCCACTTCGAAGTAATAAAAGGAAAATTCAGTACTGATAACAGAAAAGAATCTTTAATGAGGCTATGTTCTTTTAGCGATGAGACCGTTGTTAAAACATCTGACAATGGATCTAAAAGCAAGAAGTGTAATTATATAATTTAGAGAAAAAAGGGAACTAGAAAGACACTCATACTTAAATCAGTAAGAGACAGTTGAAATTCCTGGGGTACGCTATGTTGAGTTGTATGTCATCTCTACTTTCACAGGATCTATTGGCAATTCCTCAGGTCATAACGCTGCATCAGAGAGGAAATGAACGACAGACAATTTTCTTAGGTTTGTTTTTCCTCGTTTTATTTCGGCGTTGGGAGTAGCCAGTAGCCGACCCTTAGAGGAAGCAAGAGACAGGGTGAGATAGAGAGAACGGATGTCAACAAATTGGTCAACTACCTATCGTTATTTTCCAAGCGTAGCTTAGATGTGGCACTAGTATGGGGCATCTACTGAGGATCGAACTCACTTTTTCAGTTGTAACTGATCTAGCGAGACAAGCTTGCTAACCATTACACCACGCTGAGGTCAACTACCTATCACTACGTGATTGCCTGTCTCACTAACAAATATGTAAGCGGCGAGACAATTGTTGCAATCATATTGACTGTCTTTATGCATTTTCGGTCTTACTTCAAAATTTAAACAAACACAATCCATTACTGAACCCACAGGGTTCAAAGTATCCCAATTCAATTCGGGTCATCAGAGTTCTGACACGTACGGTAGTGTGTTATATAGGAATAAAGTGTCGCTGCCGACACTTGAGTTTGAACATAGATCGCCCGTATTTGCTGACATGACATATTGAAAGTAGGGACAGAGAGAAACAGCGGGTAGCCAACCAATAATGATTACATGTATGGATGGAAGAGCAGAGTTCCATTATTGAACTGAGTAGATCACGTGACCATAGTAGAAACGCATATATGTAGGAAGTAGCTGACGACTGATGATCGCTATTTTCAGTCTATCCTCTATTAATATTCGGACCACTATTCTCTACTCTATTCACTATACTATTTCTCTATTCGGATCACTATACAGGTTACTGTTCGAGAGAGTATTATCGAGCAAGTAATATTAGTGCGAGGTTTATTCAAAGGCGTCTGACACCAGTATTGTCCAACGGCGTGCTATAGTTGTTTCTGCGATTACAAAGTCTCTACTACAACGAGCATTACGAAAGTGACAACGAATATTCGTTGGCATCACAAAAGTGGCAACGAGTGTTCGTTGATATCACAAAATAGGGTTTTCCATTTTGGGCCAATTCTTTAACAATTATGAGGAAATAACGCTTGGAAATTTAACACTCACGGGATGCATCGAGGAAAAAAGAGGCCAATAGAAACAGTGAGTAGCTGACTTAATGAGTTAGGCAGAAGAATAGTAAAGAGTAAAAAGTTGCCTTAAACTTCACGGGACACAAATTTATGGAGAGCTATGATCGACTATGTCCTTGAAGGTATACCGCGCATAAAAGAAGATACAGAGAAGTATTTACAGCTTTAACTGGGACTCAAACTCAGTTTGTCAAGTTTACCTATCGTGTTGATAACTGTTACGTTACCAGGAACGACGTATTTGATATGCAAATATCAAAACAAAAGAAACGTTACGTGTGTGAAGTTCTTTTATGGAAGCTACATACCGTCACAATCCACTTTTTCGATCATTTCGTTTACTTCACCTTCTGTTGGACTCATACCCAACTTCCGGAGTACATCTCCCAGTTGTCGGGTGGAAATGATCCCATCGTTGTCGTCATCGAATAAGCTGAATACGTCTTTATACACTGAAAAAAAAATCAATAAAAATCAATACTCAATTCTTCGTACAGGCTCTCTGAAAAAAATATAAAAATCATTATCATTGTTGTTTCGACTCGAAGGCTAGAGGTTAAGTTCTAAACGGACAATAATGGGTTCTCTGTCCCCAACATAATGGGTATCTGTCCCCATTCACAGGGTATGTCAACATAATGGGTATGTCCCCATTCACATAAATACATGTCTGTCCCAACTGTCTGTCTCCGGGCAGAGAGGCTATGTCGAAGGGCAGAATCTCGCCTCGAGAAACAGCTACCAGACCCTGTTTTATACGGAGTCTACGGGTAATTTTTGGCCGAGTCTACGGGCTCGGATACCCCACATTAAATTCGGCCTTGTGTCACATATGGCGGCGTGGGGCGGTTGGTAGATATCCTGCAGTTGGAGATTCATTGTGGAATTCACTTGATTCACTTCTAGCTTCTTCTACGCGACGCTGGCGAATCTTATATGTGTTGTTCTTGTCCTAAGCATTATCGTTCATTACCAACCTTCGTGTGATTATTCTATTCAGTAACCTTCGCTAGGGCACAACAGTAAAAAAACAATTTCTCATGTTAATTTTCCAAGCAAGTAGACCCGCTTAAAGCTTGGCGTATCACAATATTCCATCCATTTATCTCTGTTATTTGGCTTTGTGCTGTAGTAGCCGAAGCTTTGTAAATATAAAGAATTAGACGATACATATCTTTAAACAGCCCCGCCCAAGTGAGATTCGATCATTGAAACAATCTTGTATTTTTATGATTTTGCTAATTCATCCAGTCTGTGTGCTGTGTTCATCAAGACACAATTACACTTGCGACGCTTGCTTTTATCTTCCTAACGTTTGCCTCTTTCTAACAACTGATCTTTTTTTTTTCGGTCTCTGGAAGCGAATGTCATCGCTGTAAATTATTTAGACATTAAAAAGAAAAATGCAAGATGAAAAAAAAAAAAAAAAATCAGCAAGAGGAAAAAAAGAAAACATAGCTTTGAAGATTCAATCCAAAGGTAACACTCCAAAGAGATGATCTTCTTATCTTCCCTTTACAGTTTTATAGCTTTACATACTCGTGTGATGAATAATAGATTATATTTCAGTTGATGTCCTGTTCTTGTTGCATCGTAAGCTTAATGTGGCACAGTCTAAGAAGTATAGAGCACACATTGAGATTCAAACTTTAAAACATAAAAAAAAAAATATAATTTAGTTTACTAAGTTTGAAATAATAAGGAAGTACGACATATTAGATTAGTCTGGCACAAGGTCACAATTTCGTGATACCCATTGTGGATCGAGTTCACAAAACTAGAAATGCTAAAATAAATTGGTTTAAAAAACTGCAATGTTTTTGGTCTTGACCTGGCATTTCGGCTTCAGTCACTTTCCCACCGCCGTAACTTAGCTTCCCTGTGCCTTTTCTATAAATATTTTCATGGTAATTTTTCTAATTGGCTTTTCTCTTTGGTACCTATGTTTTATGAATGTAAGCGTAGTACTAGATTAGCGGCTAGCTCCTCGTCATTTTACAGTTGAACTGTAAGTTCTATGTCAACAGTTTCTTCTCTCGCACTTCTCGCTTGTGGAACTCTCTTTCAGCTACTTGCTTCCTAGTCAACACTGATATTCAAAAATTTAAATGCAACATCAATCGTTATCTTCTATCTTCTTAATTACTGTTCTTTTATTGTTTTCTCTTCTTAATAGTGTTTTTTTTTCATATCTCACACTCAGTCACCCCCTTGCAGCTTAGTGACTTTATTGCCTTTCGTGGGGTGAAATAATAAAAAAAAAAAAAAACACTACTGAAGAAGTTAGGCGATCCAAACTGGATTAGGTTAGACTGGCACAAGACCAGAGTTTCATCAGATAAATGAGCTTTTTTTGCTATATTTCCATGATATTATGCAGACGTAAACATTTAGTCGAGGACATAGCTGGTTTTTTCAATGCGGAACTGAATCGAAAGGAAAAGACAATGGCGGGAAAATTATTAATGAAAACTCTGTTGCTCGTGACTCTTATGATTATACAATTGTTTGAGTTATCGTCGAATAATAGGAGGCACCAGAGATGCACAATCAAGTCTTATTTGTAATTACTTCTTTATTCTAAATTACTGTAGTTTGATTTAACAGCTGAAGAATAGTAGATCAGCTAGAAACCAGTCAAAATGATAAGTATCAGAATGAAAATTATATATATATTTTTTTTCTGTTTATACGTTATTTTTATAGATACAGATATTTAAGTAAATTTTCTGTTTATAATAAATAGTATTAACAACATTTACGGCTTGAATGTTCGAGAAATTTCATAGAAAACATGTATCCTCCAACAGGAATCAAACCTGTACCCTATAAAAAAACGTCATAGAGTCTGACGTGCTATACCTTTTAGCCACAGAGGAAGCGTCTGGTTAGTAAGGTCAAATTACTGTTTTTAAATTACAAATTTACCATGATTTCGAACGCTTATATCTGCTCGATAAAAATAGGATACAGGTTCGATTCCTGTCGGAGGACAGATATTTGCTATGAAAATTTCTCGGACATTCAAGCCCGTAAATGTTATTAATACTGTTTATTGTAAACAGAGCATTTACTTAAGGACATGTGATAAAAAAACAGTAAAATACAAAGAAACTAGATAGCAATAAATTATCCTTTGAAATTACAAGTTTTTATTCTTTTTAATTCAACTTCCTCAATGGAATCAAGCGTTTTTACAATTAAACTAGATGAACATTAATGTGTCATAATCTAAAACATTTACGAATGTCACTGTTAATTCAAGAGCAGATGAAGAATAGATCATTTAAATAGAATAGATCTGTTAAGAATAAATCAGTTTTGATAAAAAGAAAAAAAAAGGGGGGGAAGAAAATAATGAAGAAACGAGCTGAAACTTATAGTAAAACGACATAGCAAGACGATATCCCGAAGTGGCTTCTGAATGTCTTCTTGTCGCCATTACCGGAAATGTAAACCGCTGTGTATGATAGAAATCTTTGCAAGTAAAACAAATAGGATTGTTTTTTGTTTTTTTCTACTTAAGCCAGCATGAATACAGCATATTTACGTGAGTCAGGCTGAATTGTTTATGAATTGTTTATGAAATGTTATAAAAGTACACGGGGAAATGACAAAAAAGAAAAAGAAAAGCGCAATAACATGTAAACATGTAATCAAATACGGTGGTTTTCTGAGCGTGGTTTAGATGTGGCACACGGCGGAAAGTATGGGGCACCCAGTGAGAATCGAACTCAGTACCCAGTCAACATGTCATGAAATATGTATAACAATGATATTACTTCATTTTTTTTTAAAGTAAACTTCATCTTGTACTAGGTCCAGGGGTTTGCACTCGAGGCAAAGAGTTACGCCAAAGAGTAGTTTATATAGATAGGAGAAGAAGATAACTTTTAACTCTAGACTTGAGCAGGTTAAGATTGTAGTGATCGGAGAAACATCCTCTTGGGATTCTGTTACCCTGGGCAGTGGTTCATGGGAAGAAACTGTTCGAGTGAAACTTGCTTCTTGCCGATGGAATACGGAAGGAATTAGAGAATTATTTCTCTTGGGAATTCAAGATTATTACTATTAATTCAACAGCAGACGAAGAAGAAATCGATTACAAATTTGCGATCCAATGGCCTAAATGGTGATTTTATAAGCGTGGCACACGGCCGAAAGTATGGAGTACCTGGTGAGGATCGAACTCTCTATTCAAGCGTAATTGATCTAGAGAGATAGGCTTGCTAACTATAACACCATATCGAAATGGCCCAAATGATTTTCTCGGCGTAGTTTAGATATAGCACAAGGCTGAAAGTGTGAGTACTTAGTGAGAATCGAAATTACTACTCAAATGTAATCCATCAGGCGAGACAAACTTGTTAACCATTACATTACGATGAAGTGACCATATGATTTTATAAGCGCAGCTTAGAAGTGGCTCAAGGCTGAAAGAGTGGAGTACCCAGTGAGGATCGAACACACCACTCAGTCGTAATTAATATAGCGAGACAAGTTTTCTATTACCCTGCGACGAAGTGTCTATATGATTTTATAAGCGCAGCTTAGAAGTGGCTCAAGGCTGAAAAAGTAGAGTACCCAGTGAGGATCGAACACACCACTCAGTCGTAACTGATATAGCGAGACAGGCTTGCTAACCATTACACCACGTCGAAGTGCCCCGATCCGAAGACGTAAATGTTTTGAAATAAAACCAAATAAATTCACTCAAATGACAGTGATAAATGTGAACGAAATAAATTGCTAAGAAAAAACCTCATCAACTTTAGCATTTGGTTGGCGAATGAGTGAAATCTGATCGTTCCCCGACCCGATATTCACTGGATAGCTGTTACATTGTTTTGGTTCTGTTTACCGTTTTCGCCGAGATTAGCGAGAGGGTTTCGAAAGGAGGAATATGTAATTTTTTTTTGTATGTGTGTGTGTGTGTGTCGACAGCCCTGACAGATCGCTGGAAATTTAACACTTTAGAAATACCATTGTTGACAATCTTTTCGAAGTAATTTGTCGAAAAGGTTAGGCGCTATAAGAAACTTCTTAGAACATTTGCAAACAACGCTCGCTTGCTTAGTCGATACCTGAAAAATAAATGGGCACACACGCATACACACACACGAGCGCGCATGCGCGCACAAAAGCAAACTCTTGGTAAGGTTATGTTTCTGCGCATGCTCAAGAAAAACACTCAGATCCTAAAAATATCTTATCTGAAGTTCTTAGAAGAAACTTTATTACCATTATTAATTATTGGCATGTATTTCATTCATAATATTTTTGTTTCCTGTGTAGTAGTTTTCGTAATAGTCTTAGATTGTCCAAAGTTTCGAGATGAACCAGTGTTGTCATTATTTGATATCCTCTTTGAGCTTTTGTTGTTTCAGAGGGGCGATGAAGGTCATACCCGTACCACAGCTTAGAGACACAACACTTTCCTCAGCACATGGGT